ATAAAAACCTTCTGTTCTGATTGTGATAACTTTTATCGTCTTGGTTGTTTCAACGAAAAACATCATGCTATGCAATAAATAATTCAAACAATAGCAGGGAGAGCAGATGATACATTACACATAACCTTCTGCCTAAGGAAGAAGGAAAAGAAAGTATTTTTCTAGTCATTTTCTTAAAATATGGCGGATTCCACCAGTGGGGCCCATCGACTAGAAAGGGTTAAAGTGTATGGGTTTAATTTTATTTCTGTTCATGATAGCGAAGAAGATGAAAAGAATTTACAACAACTGATAACCATTAGTCAGCTCCACATATGAATCGATTATTTAAATTGAAATAAAGAAATCCAAGACTGTAGAAGAGATCTTAAGATTATGATAGATTTCGAACACTTTGCTTATGAATTTCTATCTATTACTTTCTTGCTTCCTAATTGACTAGAAAAAGAAAAAATGCAGTCACTTATTTTGATGACATTTTACATAAACAACTGCTAAAAGAAGAGAAAAAGACGGCGAAAGAAAATATAACATAGTTAGAAGAAAAGATAAGAAATAAAAATGAGATGAAACGAAGGTACTTGTTCACATTGAATACAGTCCATATACTAATTGGCTTGATTAACACATCATACGGCACTGGGTGAAGATGAAAGCTGTACCTCTCTAGTCAACGTTTCGGTGGTATAGCCAGGAATTTTTAAGTCATGGGTCATTTCGCAGCTAAATTATTTTGAGAAGTGGGCAACAATGAGTAAGCAAATATCAATTGGGATAAAATTTTGTTAAGACTTTTTGCTCTCACAAAAATCGATGGTTATTGAAGAGAAGTTCGTCATTCATAACCAAGAGGCGAGCTTATTCGCTTTCTTGTGTTATTTCACAAATACACTCCTCAGCTTTCAACTATTTGAATATATTATGTCAAAAAGCCTAAATAAGCACAAATATAACAAAAATCAGCATAAATTAATCCCAAATACAACAAAAATTAGCATAAATAAGCACAAATAAAACAAAAACGGCATAAGCACAAATATAATTAAAGTCAATATCAATAAACACAAATAGAACAAAAAGTAGCAAAAAATAGCACAAATAAGCAATAATGATAAGCACAAAAAAAAGAACAAAAATAGTTCCCATATCGCTCGGATCAGCAAAAAGCGTCGGTTAACTGACGGTTAATTTTGATTAACCGATGGTTTTTTATCACTATCCTCTCAACCCGTTTCTCATCTTGTACGCACGATATGCACAATATATTTTGCAAATGAATATACAATTTAATTTGATCAATTCATACTTACATTTCGATTAGTTGTTGGATCAAATATAAATAATAAAAAATAATTTTATTTTTTTTTAATTCCTACTGGCATGTGGATCATTGTTGGATCAAATCTAAAAAAGATAATTCAATTTAACTATTTGAGTATCGATTATGACGATTAATCGCAAGATATGAACACAGATTTTTTAGGTGCATATCTGAGGAAGACATAATTAGAAACCAAACTACAACTGTCTATTAATGACCTATATCCAATTGAAAACAGCTAAATCAATGAGTGATTTTCTTAAAAGTTAGAAGAGTACTTCGAAGACATTGACCGGAGTAAATCTAAATGTAATAAAAAGATTCAATAAAATGTAGACTATCTGATGCGTATGCATGGTGCATCTTACAACATATATCGGTAAGCCAAAATAGAATACAGGATGAGTAGACACGTCAATAACCCAGTCAAATTAAAAAAAAATAGTATGGACCTCTGTTTTACGCACTTAATATAATATCTGTTAATTACAAAAGTAGTGCGTATATCGAAAGAAAATATTTAATAAATCTTTTTTTGTGGTAACGGATATACTTTCGGTATTATGAATATGTTTGCCATTAATTGTTTTTTATAAATTACCATTACTACAAGGAACTGAACAAAACCATGGATTAACCACGGTTAACTGGCGGTTTCTATTAAAACTATCGGTTACGGTCGATTTTCATTAAAAAAAAGATGACATGGATTATAATCCAAAATCTAAACACCGCTGATATTTTTGTATGAATAAATCAACAATTTTCTTAGCATTAATTTCCACATTTTTGTGAATGAATACAGCTGTACATCCGTTGAGTCAATTTTCAACCGTTGTTGATCCACAATAAGTTTTGATACGTTTGAACGAGCTCTGCCGAGCCAGTAGTAACCGAAAGAGTAGCAAGAAATACGAGTAAAAAATGTATATTTGGATAAAGAATAGGATCACATCTGATAAGTAATTTATTCATCCATAAATTCACGTAGTTTGATTTCACGAGATTCATACATTCATTTTTCCATCTCTCCAATTCATCGAAACGTTGTAGAGGTTGTAGTAAACGGTCTACGAATTCTTCCATTAATCACTTATATAGTTCAGTCATTGAACAGCTCGTAGTAGAACTACGTTCCGATCATAGGTGAGTAAGTAATTGCATATGTAAATGACCAAATACAGAAAGACATTTTTCAACATTCGCTATCAATTCACGTAGAAAAGGAAGAAATCCTTGATCGCGATAAAACTCTTATGGATCAAGAATATATTGACCATATCGTCGTTGATATGCTCGTGGTACTACTGGCTGTGCAAACAATTCTCTGACAATTTCTTGAGTTTGTTCAGACACTATATTTTTCGAAATAATTAATTGCATCAGTCTCTCGGGCATTGAATGTCTTGAGCAATGATGAAATGTGATGGTGTGCGATACCAAAATCGATAATAGGAGTTTGTAGAAGGCGACTAAGAGGCGTGATTTCACTAAGAAGAAAGCATGTAATACAAGTATACACGATTGTTTCAAAATTATTGACTGGGATGGTAATGTTGTTCTGGAGATGAGTCTCCTTCGATGCGAAGAAGTCTAGAGTTTTCGAAATTGCGATGTACAACTCGAGGAATGCTTCAATCGCATCATTACATTCAACACATCGAGTTTAATACTAAAATCAAACTTTTTTATTTTGACAATATTCACAAAATCATTTTGTCTCAAAAGAACGCTCTCGGACAAAATTGAACGAGGAAGTGTATAAAATGAATTAATAGTTGAATTGTGCCTCAAGTTTGAAGAGTTAGACTATGTATTTTGCGTAGATACAAAGATTCTGGAAGCTAATTTTCAAAAACTTCTATCTATTTCGAAGGGGCAATATCAACGAAGAAGCTAGGACCCTAAACGATTGAGAACCAGAGATCAGAATGAATAGAAATCTTTCAATTCGGATTCAGTTCGATTTCCGTCTCTGCTAAGGACGTGTTCATTGGCTAGTTTTGCTTTGAAAGGCTAATAATCTGTGAATTCTGTAGAAATGGATTCCGTTAAATGTATTTAGGGCAATCCAAAAGTAGTGTCGTCATTATCTGATTTCCGTATAAAAAGCTTGAAGAAATTTTCTTCTTTTATGCAGCGGTAGAGAAAACAATGCTTTATTTTCCTGTGCTATTTGATCACTCTTGAACTAATACCATCATAATAAAATTTCGATAAGAACTGTTTTTCTGTAAAATATAATGGTTATACTAATGCTATTTGGAAAACAAAGGTCGAATGAGTATTTTCTGAACAACTTTTCATAACCGCAAGATAGAAAGCTGTGGTTTCCAGTGTTCGAAAGAAGAGATGAAGTTGCATCGAATCGTATACCTTAGATTTTTTCGATCTGATTTTTTTAAGGTTTCTAATCGACTTCTTTGAAAATAAATCTACTTTACGAAGTGTTTACAGTGAATTTTCAATTGTCAGATGTGCATTCAAATCGTCAATGGCATATCTACAAAACTGCATGAGATTGATATTCTTAGAATTAACTATTCAGGAGCTATTGGTATTCTAATCGAAGCTATAAATGATTTTTCTGGCAATTTTTGTGATAAAAATTGCTTTTGCTATTTGCTTTTTGATAAATAACTATTTTTTGAGACTTAAAAAAATTGATTTAATAAACTTTAAACAACACATTTGGAAAACTTGTAATATACGACTTGACGCATCTTTATCTCTTCTTTCGAAAGGTGAAAACCGCAGTTCTCTATCTTGTTCTTATAAAAAGTTACTCGAAAAAATACTCGGCCTTTTTTTCAAATAGCATTGGTACAACCATCATATTTTACAAAAATTTTTCTATCGCTACATATAAAAAGAAAATTTCTTCAAGCTTTCTATCCTGAAATATGATGAGGATGATACTACCTTCAGATTGTCCTAAGTAGATTAATTTTTATTCAAATTTTCAATTATTATTCTACACGAAAAAGTGGAATATCCTGATGTGCATACATACGGTACAAATATAAAATTACCAATAAGACAATAAAAGATAGTATACATCGGAGGATTATTTGAACTAGTATCTGTATTTATAGTGGATGATTACCGTGATTTTTCATCAGTCTCACTCGAAACTGTTTTGTTGGTACGTGCTTAGGATCCCTGACCTACTGTAGTTGCAACGATGGATCGCGATGTAGAAATAAATTATTTTTTAGTATCACAGAAAAATACTCTTCTTTATCAAAATTAGTATGATCTCTGTTACGTCCTTATTTTACATTGATGTTTGTACCATATACACATCCAACGCCTTCTCTCTCTCCTCGAAATTACTCCCAACTATATATATATATGTAGTCACGCATTACTAACTGCGCAATAAATTTCAGTTCAAGATCAAGAAAAATCTTTTCTTGACTTTTACGAGAAAATAAAAAAAAGAATAACAATAGGCTATGTACGAATTGCGGACAAAAGTAAAGCCAACTAACACATCAGTGTTCGCAATTTTGAAAAGAGAATTTATGTTGATCGCTTTTTTTTCTCGTTTCCAAATTGCGGACATTTTGATTTGATTAATCAATTATTGAAAGGTTAAATTATGAGTTCTGTTCTTTGATCAACACATAATATATATGTATCATGAGCACAAAAGAATCACACTACATATCAAAAAATGAATACAACCTTTGTTTGGTCAACAACCGAAAAAGGTGAAAAGGCTATTCTATATAATAGTTACCTTTATCGATTAAAATGTGAAAATCAGAATGGTTCATTAATCTCTATTTGTACTTTCAAATGGTGTTCTCGTATCATTACTTTAAAAAATGATGCAATTATAAAAACAAATGGTGAAAATTATAACCATGATCTAAAATTGCCTGAAAAAGTTCGCACCATGCTTTGTGGATTAAAATATCGAAGATTAACTGATGTAGATGAACCTGTTACAAAACTTTATGAAGACGAAGTGAAACGATTTGTAAGTACTTGCTCCTTTGTGCTTATCTCATATAAACCATTACGGTCGCTGTATTTAGCGTAGTGAAAACAGTACAGCTGGTCCAGTTCCAGTCTTCGACGGTTAGAAATCAACTTTGTATTCTGTGCGTAAAACAATATTACCTCCAACACCAAAATCGTTGTCATCAATTATAATTCCAGAAGATATGTGTTACAATAATGATAAACAAGAATTTTGATTTTGTAATTCACCAGAACCATATAAAGTTATAGCATTTGGTTCAGAACAAGCATTAAATTTATTAAGTATCAATCCACATTGGAATGATGATGGAACATTTCGGACATCACCTGCATTATTTAGTCAATCATACTACTTACATATATGGGATGAATTTAGTATGAAAACAATAGTTTATTCATGTTGTCAAGATAAATCAGAAGAATGCTATCATGAATTACTTAAATTATTACTTACATATGCAACAACAAAAAAAATATTATATTAAATCCATCATCAATTTTAATAGATTTCGAACAAGGAATGATTAATGCCATTAATGATATATTTCCACAAACAGCAGTGAAAGGATGCCATTTTCATTTTGCACAAAATATATGGAAGAAAGTAAAAAAAATACAATTTAGTTAAATTATCCAAAGAAGAAAACATTCGCCGTCAAATAGCGAACATTATTGCATTACCTTTAATACCTCCAACTGAAATTGATAATTCTATGGAAAAAATTATTGACGAGTTATGTAATTATGATTCAAAATTAGATAAATTAACTGATTATGTTATTAAAAATGATGTAGAAGATGCTCGATTTGCTGTTCAAATGTGGAATCATTTTAATAATATTGGTATTAGACCACGTACAAATAATCATCTCGAAGGTTATCATCGACAATTAAATCCCAGAGTTAGAACAGATCCTGATCTTCGGGCATGGATTAATGAAACTAGATCATCGGAAAAATCCGTTATGTGCCATTATGAGCAGGAACAAGCGCAAAAACAAACAACAAGACGAAGAAAAGGAAGATTTATACAAGATGATAATAAACTCATGTATGCCGAAAAGACATATGTACAAGATAAAGATTTTGACGCATACCAAAAAACATTACGATCAGTTTCTCATCATTATATCCACATTATCAAAGATGCCAAAGACAGTAGCGACGAGAAACAGGTTTTTTGTTATTTATTTATTTTTGTTCTCAATAAATATTGTTCTTAATTAACACTGTTAATTACTCGATAAGAAAAAAATGTCCGCAATTTGGAAACGAGAAAAAAAAGAGATCAACATAAATTCTCTTACGTAACAATAGATATTGAAGAAAACGAACAAACGTTGTTAGATCAAAGAAAAGAACGAAAGTACAAGAAGAAAGCAAAAGAACACACTAGGAAAAATATCTAACAGAACGAACATATATGGATAATTCATATAGCATTTTTTTCTTATAGCACATCTAACATAAGTGCCATAACCATTTTCATCGTATTTATTACTACCTGACCAAGTGATGTGATCGCATCTACTAATTTCTTTAGAGATTTCTTCCCATGTTGATTTGATCTTCTCTAAACAAAAATTTGATACTTTGTCGCCAGACTAAATAAAATTTCGTTAGTGAATAGAAAAGAAAATATTATCGTAGATCAAACAAATAAAATGCAATCAATGAAGATTCAGATCTGAGTCTCACTTTCGCCATTGGTCTAGTTTACATGAAAATTTCCAATGCTCACTCTGCATATATACATATATTGAGAAAAGAAAACTTTCTAGTTAAAATGAACAAACTTTCAAAAATTTTTGTTTTTCCTCTTCTTTCTCTATTAAGATCAACTCACAATATATTAAACCATATACTTTATGATCGTTCATAAAAAAACATCAATCATCTCTCAGTTCATGACATAAATACAACTGATCATCATGCCTATCTATATAGCGACCTTACCTAATCGGCCTTTTATTTTGAGAAGCTATTGCATATGGATATATAAAGATAATGACAGAAACGCTTGAAAAACACACATAAAGTACAGACATAAATCAAACATATAGACTTAATTTCCCATTAACCATTTATTCACGTCAATGTTTCTCTCTCTCTCTCTCTTCTCAAAAGCGAATGACAGTGTATCTTATAACAAGCATCATTCGCCCTACTTAACGACCATATGAACAACAAATACACCAACAATATCAAAAAAACAAACAAACAAGTTTCTCAAGCTCCTCGAATTCTATCTAATTTCATTAAAAACAAGGTTGCGTCTAGTCGCACAACGAGTCGTTTCAGCAACTACATGGATCCTGATCTAAGATATTCTACGTCTTGTAAAGCATTAAATCTCGCTAAAAAATGAGAATTAATGAGTAAAGGGTTAATTCAGTAAATTTATTGATTGTGAGTATTTATAAAATAATTATTTATTCATGTAGATATGCTAGAAGATGAATATTGCGTGCATAATTTTCAACGATATTACAGTCAGATATTCAAATAAAACTATTGAATTACACATTAACCATACAAATTGTTGTAAAAGTTCGATTTTACTTCATTGAAAATAATATTTTATACTTATTCGTTTAGCAAATAAATCCGAATATTCTTAATAGTCTTTTTATTACTTCATATAAACACAATCTGATATAATCAATATTCTTTCTCAATATAGCAGGATGTTTTCATTGAGTTAAACATTATTCAAAGCATGTCACAAGAAGTGATTTCATTATGATAAAATGCCGTTTCTATATTTTCAAAAAAAAAGAATAGAAAGAAAATTATATCAATAGTTATTGGAACTTTTCAAAAAATGTTCTATGCAGATGAAGAACAATTTTGAACTGTGAAGAAAGCATTCAATAATAGCATTGAATGATAAAGAATGTATTCTTTTGGATATAGAATATATATTTGTCGATTATAAATGCACTCACCAAAATATAGAACTCGTTATTTATGGTTAAGATTGATTTCTATGTTTTCATGAATGTGTTTACTAGTAATTCTTTTTTTTTGCATGAACATTCTTTAGTGGAATGGATATTCGCAATATAGTATGAATTTCAAAAGATTCTCAGTCCAATAAATACTTTCGAATTATTTTCTCACACTAACATTGAATAAAACGGTTAGTTCAATCATATTTCATAGGAGATACATAGAGAATTAAAATATTAAATAAGGTAACATAGAATATAATATTAAATACGAAGAAATTATAATTAAATGTTTTAATAACACTGTCATTATCGATTAGAATAAACAGAGAGGAGCAATGACAAATATGACAAGTATTATTCATAATGACATTTTTGAAAATGTCGATTTTCAATCGAATTCGATACAAAATCTAAGTAGAAATATATGAAAACAAATTCATACATGAATATATGACTATATGTGAAGAACTTCTATTGAGATTCTCAATAAAATTGTACCGTTTCTCAGGTTGAAACGAAAATATATTCAAAACATACGAACAAAAGTCGAAGCGTATTTAAAACGATACAAACATATTGTAGATAATTAAATGAAGACGCTGTAAAAAGAAAATAATCAATAAGGCATATTTAGAACTACTCATTCGGAACGGTGGAACACGTGCATCTCGAAGGTTATTTATCATTAGGAGATAGTAGTTCTTGATATGTTTGTCTGTTTGTTTACAGCGCGCTTGAATTATTTCAAACGCATTTTGACATTCGTTCGTGTATTTTTGAATACATTTTCAATCTGTTCGTTACTACCTGGTCTTATTATCACGAAGCAGAGGACACTACTAGTCTATCGGTGACTGCTGTGATTCGAAAGGATTGGTTCATTAATAACTATATCGTCATTAAGCCAAAAAAAACCTATTTAGTATTAAAAATTTCACGTACCAATAGAATCTTATAGGAAACATCCAAAAGGAAAACAATTTTATTAATATTAATTATTAATTTAAATAAATAACAAAAAAATGATTTTAATTTTATCATTAATAACTTAATTATTGACAAATGACGAAAGATAGAATAAAAGATTTACAAAAACCTGTAAGTTAAAATAAAAATCTTAATTTATTTTAACAATCGATTTTTGGTTTTTATTTGTAGCATCCATGGCCTCGTGTTGCGTATAAAAAAATTTCACGACAAGTATTAACATGCTAATCGCTTGCAAAATATTCAGAGTTTAGATAAAAGAAAAAAAATATACCAGAGGGCGAGTTATAATTGTTTGTTGTTGTTGTTGTTGACTATACATGCTTATTTTATGTCATGCTTTACTTGCATTTGTCAAAAAAAATTTTTCTCAAACAAATTTAAATTGATTTTTGAACTTTTAGCATCGAAGCCATGAATGGCAACATACTACCAGTGAATGTAGTATCCCCCTTAATCCCAATGAAGCGGATAGAGAACATGCTGTGACTGAATTTTTAGCTCAAGTATGAATAATTTTATGCTTTTTTTATAGGAAACGAAAAAAAAATTTAATTTTTTTTTTCGTCGTTTAGATTGATTTAATTCGATTACTTATTCATAAAATTAGAGAACTTACAGAAGATGTTAAACGAATTCATCAAGAAATGATCGAACCTTTGTCTGATCCACGTATAAATGCTAAAAGCTATAACAAAAAAAATAGTTTCTTTTTTGTTTTTGTAGAACTTGGACAACAACTTGATGATAAAACTGCTGATATAAAAAACTTAGCACGCAATATTTCACAAAAACTACAAAGTAAAGAACCGAAAAAGAAAATGCTCAATTTGAATAGATTTTATTTTTGAATTTGTTTATTCATGATTTAATAGAGTTTGATGGGATGATTATGAATGTGCGATTAGATTACCTGTTCACCTGTAAAAACTTATAAAATTCTCTGAAAGTATTTTGTTTTAATTCAACTGAAAGTGTATTATTTACTTAGATTTAAGATTCCTAAAGTAAAAAAATATTATCTATAATAAATAGTCTTAGAAGAACAGATAAGTATAGGCATTTCAGTCATTTTTATTAGCTTTTTTTGGGAGAAAAGATCAGACTGAATGTTTTATACCATTTGAATGATTAGATTTTGGACTAAAAAAGTACTTTATTTTGTTTTTATTATTGAGAAAATTGAACATTTTCTCATTTTTTTTTCTAAAAACGGGTTATAAATATGACCTTGTATCAAGCAGTTTTTTA